GCAACCTTACCATTTACAAGTTTCATCGTTTTGTTTCGCAGATGTCGATGCCGGAGCGGGTTTACCGGGAAGAATTGCACGAAGAATATCAATGATTGCGTCGGCCAATGCCAACACGGTGCGCTCTGCATCGATTTAGTAGATGATTATCATTGCAGCTGCACTCCCGGTTACTCCGGCAAGGATTGTGACGTTGATATCGATGAATGCGCGTCCAAGCCGTGCCAGAACGGCGGTGATTGTCGCGATCTGGTGAACGCTTACGAGTGCGTGTGCCCGGTGGGCTTCACTGGCTACCAATGCGAAATCGATCGCGATCATTGCAGTCCGAATCCGTGTCGCAATTCGGCACCATGTTTTAATACGCAGACCGACTACTACTGTCACTGTCCAACACAGTGGCAGGGTAGAAATTGCTCGGAGCCGGCCTTGAATAATCCGCAATTCGGTGTGTTGGACGATGGGCAATCGGGCTGCGGCAGCGAAGGTACTCCATGCGGCGGTAAGGGCCGATGCAGCGGCGGCAGATGTATCTGTGATCCGGGCTACACTGGCGTGCATTGCCATGAGAACATCAACGATTGCCGCGGCAATCCCTGCTTGAACGGCGGCACGTGCGTTGACCTGCTTAACTCGTTCCAGTGCATCTGCAGGGAGGGCTGGAGTGGAGATCTTTGTGACCAAAGTAAGTAATAGAATAAATAGAACATTAAGAAACGTGATGAAATGGAAATTTGGTTGATCTAGACTCGATTATTATGTGGTAAATGAATTCTTCTAGATGTGGATGACTGCTTAACACAGCCTTGCCACAACAACGGTACCTGTGTAGACGGCGTGGCAGATTTCACGTGCATTTGCCAGGGCGACTGGAAGGGCAAGACGTGCACCCTGCGCCGCGGCCATTGCGATGAAGACACTTGTCGTAACGGCGGCGATTGCAAGGATCACGGTGACAGTTTTACATGCAACTGCCCGCGTGGATGGGAAGGCACAATCTGCCACATCGCATCGCCATCGGCGTGTACGAGTAATCCTTGCGCAAATGGCGCAACCTGCGTCAATACGGTTGATGGCAGCTATCGATGCGTCTGTCGCGAGGGTTTCGAAGGACCGGATTGCCGGAGCAATGTGGACAATTGTCAACCAGTGCCATGTCTCAACGGTGGCAAATGTGTGGACGGTGACAACTGGTTCAGGTGCGAATGCGCGCCTGGGTTTACTGGCCCGGATTGTCGCATTAACGTGAATGAATGCGCGAGCGATCCCTGCCACGGAGGTGCCACCTGCGTAGACGGCATCGCGAGCTACTCGTGCATTTGTCCACCTGGTAGAACCGGCCCGCGATGTGAGATCCGGACAGCTGGTGGACCCGGTTGCACAGCCGCTACGTGGGAGGATGAATGCAACGTATGCGAGTGTCGGAATGGTAAGAATCAATGCAGCAATATCTGGTGCGGACCGGGCAACTGCTTGAACGGCACCTCTTGCTTGGCTCACGAGGTCTGCGTTCCTAGTCCGGGGGAAAGTTGTCTAGCGCCACCGTGTCCAGCGTGGGGCGAGTGTCGTCCTATCGAAACTGGCAGACGAGTTGGTCCACCGGCGCTACCAGCTCCTCCATCTTGCTGGCCCGGACAAACCACGCTCGGACCAACTTGCTCGAGACTTACGATACTATTGCGAAGGGATACCCTGGCGTCTGGCACGTCAGTGGAACTATTGTGCCGTCGTTTGAGGAAACTATTGGCCGATCCACGAAGACCTCAATCGGTAGTGTTACTGTGTGATTTGAAGCCCGGTGATAACGATACGATAGAAGTGACCATTTTCTCCGAGGCAGCAGCGGACGCGGCCCGCGATCTCGGCGAAACACTCAGTCGTCCACTAGCCAGACCTCTCGTATTAGTTTCTGTACTAGAGGTCAAAGTAGAGACAGCGCTGCTCAGCGAGCCTAGTTTGGCGAGTGCGGCTAATGCCAGTAGCTACGTGACTGTTTTGGGCAGCGCTCTGGCGATTGTGCTATTATTGGTGCTATTCGGTAGCCTCTGGTACCTCAAAAATATGAGGCATAGATCGAACCTGACGGCGACTACTAGCAGCGAAACTTCATTACACCGTCATCGCAGCGATCTAGACGAAAAGTCGAATAACCTTCAGAACGAGGAGAATTTGAGGAGATATGCCAATCCTCTGAAGGATCAGGATTCCGAACCCCGCGTGTCCGTTGTAAGGCCTTTGTCAGGCACTTCGCTTGGCACATTAACCGGCACCGAGGAAAGTCTCGAAATGGTATCTGAAGAAGGCAGACATCGTTTGCCACCACTCTATAAACCGCCCAGCGCGGAAGCTAGGAACAATACGGCCAGTTTTAGCTATGAAGAAGGAGCGCATAAGCCTTACATCAAGCCCAGATTGCAGGAACCAATGTACCCTCATCAGCAACCAGGTACCAGTCAAACGTCGGGGCCGCATCAAGTGCTAACGGTACACGTGTGATTAAATATCATTAAAATAATGTGAAGAACAGTGATTTTTTTTTTATTTTTCTTCCATACATGATGCACTAAAGAAAAATTCTTAGAGACTTGAAAGATAATGTGAAAGGGACTGAACTTCACTTGAACGATCTATTTTTTTTTGTTTTTGTGATAACGGAAAATGACTTTCGATTTCGAGATTAACTTGAGATGGTTCTTTTCAGGTTCTTCTTTATGAAAGTTGAATCAATGTATAATATATTAGGGACAAATGCAGAGAAAAAAGAAAGAGGACGATAGGGCTCAGCAATACCATTATGTTATAAGACATAAATATAATAACACATAAATTTTCAATGCCTCTCCGAAGCGCATTTTTTATGATCGCTTTATTTATAGTATTATTAGAATATGATTATTAAAATTTTCAATTTCTAAATAATTATAAAATAATTAGCAAAAATATTAGTACTATTTTCAGATTGAAAATTTAGAAAATAATTAAAATTTATTTCCTTTCTTTTTCTCCTCATCCGGCCCTTTCATGCTTTTATATGACGACAATAAACGATTGACATTTATAAATAATTTTAATGATAATGATCAGTTGTTATCGTTGTACATATGTACATAGCTCGTACTTATTAATTTCGCTAAGCCTGTATTTCCTCCGCATCATCTTCGGCGTTGCCATTCTTCTCTCCTGTACGCGCCCTCGATTTTATATGTTTATATTTAATCTTATACTCTTTGATATTACTTTATATATCGCCATTGTTAGCATTTTTATTTTCATAATTTAAAAAATAGGATGGCATCGTCGCACCTACGAGATGTATTGTACGTTTGTCATACATAATTGAAGCAAAGCTGCGCTTTATTCAAGATCAGAAGATACATATAGCATGTAAATAAATTTGACAAAAAATACGAGAATTTCTTTAGGTATCATTTGTGTTTAATATATCGCGCAGACAATCGCTTGATCATCGTACGTGAAAGTATGCTTTGTATGATATAACGTGGGCTTCAAACGTTCCTTCAGACGATATTATTGTGATACTCATAGAAGAAACAACGTTATTGTATAGCATTACTATGGTACTCTGCGTGTTCATTTACTTCACTTGCTCGAGTTTTATTTTTTTTTTTTCGCGAAGATATGACACGTGATTTTTATGCGATGAGAAATATTGCCATTGCGAAAGAATGTTCTATACGATACGCTAAATCGCGGCGGCACATTGTAAAGAACATGTTAGCAGCGTAAATGTAATATGATTTAGAACTCGAACGCAGAATAAAAACGATGTACATAGTGACGCTATTGCATCGTGGAACGATGTAAATAAATCTAAGTACACATGTCCAAATCGTTTTTCATCCCGAGTCATTATCGACCCACCCTTAGATGTGCAATTCGTTTTTTTTTATATTAGCATTTTTCGTATTCTCTAGCAAAGTGTCAACAGACTAGTTTAAACTGAGAAACATAGCTCGTTTTAGGCATACATAGATTTACAGCAAGAAGGAACCAACTTTTATAATAAATACTTTATTTTGTAGAGAAAGCTATATTATTGTACGAATACATATATAGAAGAGAATGAGAAAAACGAGGAATATATATATATATATATACAAATATATATAAATATAAATATATATTATATATTATTTTATATATTATATTATTTTTATTTTATTATTTCGTATTAATTATTTTCAGATCATAAGCAATAGTTGATCATTGTCATACAATTTTTCGTTCATTCGTCGTCTTCAAAGCGAACGACTGCATTAAAAATCCGGCACACTAATGCTTTTGGTCTAATTGACGATAAATAATTAATTAAGAAACATCCACGTTGTGATTATTCGTGTTTGATATCGAGAAATGTGCGAACGAATGCGTGTATATAAGTTCCCTCCTATTATCCCCTCTTCTCCCACTCTTCCCCCACATAGGTTTATGACGATGTGAAGGATTTCAATAAAAAGTACAACCATTCGACATTGCGTTTACGATTTATTATACCTTTGCGTCAATGCGACAACGCTCTCATAAGCATTCCCAGCATTGAAATCACTGAAAGAGAATAGAATAAACATGAAAAAATAAAATTATAAACTCTCGCAACAACTTCTTTCAGTAATAAATATCATAATATTTTACATTTAATTAACAGAGTCGTTTTATATATTTTTTGTTATTTTTGTAAAAATGAGAAAAACCTGATGAGAAAAAATTATGATGAAGCTATTGGAGTTATCTTCATTGTTCGTTAGCCAATTAAGAAGTCATAAATTTATTTGCTTCTCTTCAGAGATAGAGATACGGGCGGCGGATTTTATCAGCGGCGCCGATTTCAATGGCCCATCACGATTGTTTCATTAGAGATAATACCGATACCATTACCATCGAAAGCGCGGCCGAGATTAACAAAGCGCTTGGCGGGTCATCTCGTCGTTGCCGCGACGAGACGGGACGGATCTTCTCGTGCACGAAGCACGTACCGTTGAATGAATGATCTACCGAAATTACAATACAATGGACCAGAAGAGCCACTTGACAAATACCCGGTAGATGAATCATGCGTGATAAACGATTTGGTTCGTGTGAAACACGATAGTAGCCGCCGATCGCCGCAATAGCTTAGGGTAATTCCGGTATATACGCCGCACCTATCAAAAATTTAATTTATTAGTATAAGTATTATTTACTATGTTTAAAGTAAACGAACTATATCAATAAAAACTTTTTGTACTGCCTGCTACTATGAAAAAAATATTAGAAATTTGAAATATTTATTTTTCATATTAAAAAATAAACTTTGTGAAACTCTTGCATTTTTGCCGTATATTCCATAGGAGTGAGATATATGACTACTCATAAGAGGGGGAGAGGGGAGGGGTATGTACGGCTCATAAAAATTTATAAATAATGCGTAAAATGACACAATAATTTAAATGTATTTATAAAGTTTTATAACTGGTCTTTTACACGCCCTAATCATTTTATGTAGATTATAATTTATGATGGCGTTACTTATTACAGTGACAAATCGATTCAACTCAATAATTTCATTAATATTAACAATAAAAAGCTGAAATCATAACACAATACTAATATAATATAAAAGCATGTAACAGAGTAGTTGCGGGAAAATTTCCCTCGTTCCTTCTATTTTTTTCTGACTTCTGCGACATAAATCTCGATACGGTGTATTTGCCGGAGTTACCCTATACCTTTTATTACTTGTAAAATACATTTATTATTGTGAACTTAAGTATTGTCCCAAAGACAAAGAATTTATTATATTACATTTAATTCAATATTATATTTGTTTTAATATTATAATTATGCAATGTGCAATGTTATGCAATTTAATTTCCATAAATCTGCAGCTAATTTCACATAACGAAGTGTTATAAAATTAAGAATCATGTGTTATGTATATCTTGATATAATAATATTTATATTTATACAAATTTTCATTATATCACCAACTTCATTGAAGGAATAATAAGTATATCAACCATAAATATGGATCTCACACAAGTATTTAACCAATAATGTGATTTCTACAATGTTTCGATATATTTTCTTTTTCACAACTGAAAGAATAAATATATTCGAACAGTTTTCATATATTTTATGTTTAAAATAAAATCATATGTGATATCAAATTATTAATTAACGATAACGATTAAGATATAATCACAAATAACCTTATTATATAAATTTCACAAATAACCTTATTATATAAATTTCGCAAACATCATTCAGACATTGGAAGATGACAAGGATGTTGCCGAGCCATTGCAAGATGTAGAAATAAAAGTATGGACTTATGATGAAGATGACACTGAAATCGTGGAGGAAGAAAAAGAAGAGGAAGACATCAAAACGGAACCAGAAATAATCGACAAGACTGACATATTTACTGATTTTATGGCAGAATTTGGAGCAAAACGGACGAAGGAATTGGCAATTAAGGCTGAAAAGAAGAAGAAACAGCTACGACAACTGATCGGTGTAACTTAAGCGTGGTAACTTGGTAGCTTATTATTTTAGTAATATACAGAATGTCCTGTATTTCAATGTTCGCAATTCAATTTTATTAGATAAGTATGTCGTAAATAATTAAGCTACCACAACACGAATAAATGACAGGACCGATCTGTCTTTAATTTTGAATAAATCTCTAGTTAAGCGCTGTGATATGAAAGGTAGGTTGAACAGAAGAAAGATGATGAATCTGAAGAAACGCTGATCACGCCAGAAGATGAAGATATTGTGAGTGAACGAGTATCCACTGAAAGTTCGATTCATCCATGTTTATACAAGATAGATATCAGCGATTCTCAGCTGAAAGTGAATCCGTATACGATGTACCAGGTTCCGAACGATCCCGGATTGCTACCAGCTTTCTGGTTGTTACGTGAACGCCCGCCGATTTACAGCACTGATGGTGTGCAGAAATTCTACGACATAGTAAAACGTGCCGGTTTGAGATCGATTGGTTCGTTAAAAGATATGCTCTTAACAGATCAATTAAATCTGAGTTATACTGGATTTAAGTCACCAATAATGAAAGCGATCTGTGAGGCTTTGACCGACAATATTTTTGTACGAAAACTGGATTTGAAGGTACAATAAGTTTAAGTAACAATTTATATGGATTGTATAAAATCCTAAATAAAATAATCCTAAATATCTTAAAATATCACTTACATGAAAATGATTATTTGTTTGAAAACTGTCTATGAATTAGAACTAAACTTAAACTTTTTGCTCTATGATGCAAATGTTTACTTTGCGTTGATTAATAAAATTTTTTTGTCCAATTAACTATTTTTTATATTTTTTATTATAGGACACTAAACTATCCGCGAATGCATGCAGATATCTAAATGATTTATTACTTAAAAACAACAGTATAATCGATTTATCACTATCGGGTTGCCGAATTGGCACGAATGGCGCAAAAAAATTATATCATGCGATATCGGAGAACACAGCCCTGAAGGTGCTCGATCTCAGCCGTTGCAACATCGGCAATGAAGGCTTCGAATACATCGCGTCTGCATTATCTAATAATCAAGATTTGGAGAGTCTTGATCTATCCGACAATCATCTGGACGAGATGTGCTCAAAAAGTCTGTACAATTTGCTCTCGTCCAAAAGCTTGACGCATCTGAACTTATCTTGGAATTCTCTGTATGACGCAAAAGTCTGGAAAGTTCTAGTCAATGGGCTTAAGAAAAATCGAGAATCGCTGCGTTCCCTGAATTTATCTTGGAACGCAATTGGAGAGGAATGTGTTCATCATCTTTATAATCTATTATCACGCTCGCGGAACATTGAGGAGCTGAACTTAAGTTGTAAATATATATCAGATTTTTAAAAATGCATATTTGTATTAACGTTTCTACGCACACAATTATAAAAGAAATTATAAAAGAAATAAAAATTAAAAATCGTCAAGTAGACAAAAAAGAATCTTTTATCAAAAATAATCTTCCTTACTTATTTTTTTTTTTTTTTTAAGAATGGCTCAATTTTTTCAACATTCATTATTTATATATTTCATTAATAAAAAACGAGATAGAAAGTGTCATGAAAATCGTTTTCATATAATAAAAAACGAAATAAAGTATCATAAAATATTAATATATCTAGCAGTCACTTGAAATATTTTCTCGGAGGAAATAAATTCCAAAAGCACGTGTTCTTTTCTTAAAAGATTAATTTTTTGCGATTCAAAGGGAATAGATTTAACGGAAAAGATGCTGAAATCATAGCAGAAGGTATATCGAAAAATAATACGCTTCAAGAATTACAACTGGGAAACAACCCTTTGGAAGCACAAGGTGTTTCAGCTTTGATTCACGCAATTACGCCGAACATATCGCCCGATAGTGCTTTGCGTCTTTTGGATTTAGAGAACATTTGGGCAAATAAGAATATTCTTGAAGACTTGGAGACAATCAAAAACGTCAGACCGTGGGTTACAATCAAATTAGGCGGTATTCTGAGCAATTATCAGCTCGTTGGACCAAATGTTAGAAGAATACTTCTGAAGAGAGCAAAATACGAGACAATGCTACCAAAACAAAAGAATCGACGACGCAACTTCGGCCAATTTGTGATGTCGTTGACAGACAAACTAATAAACCGAGGCATGTTCGCACGAATTTATTAGATTTTACAGCTTTTTTTTCTTAGTTTCCTCCTTCCTAAATTTATAAAAAAATCATAATCGTTCGTATTTTAAGAAAATAAACAGATTTCTTCATTCTTGTAGAAAAATTTACACAATTAGTGCAGACGTTCAAACTAAAGCTTTCTACATCGCTCATCAATGAGATAATGAATGCATTCCAGGGACCGTATAAGAGTGTCGATCAAAAACTGTTGAAATCATTTTATTTGGAAGAATATCCAGAAACGATCATAGAATACAAAAATAGTACGAAAAAAATTGAAGAAAAAGAAATTAAAAAGCAAATACCAAAAAAAAGTGAAGTGAAAAGGAGAACGAAAAAACGAAAAAATTAATATAGAAAACAATAAAAAATAAATCAAAAATTAAAAAGAATATATATTAAAAATATATATAAATTATATTGTTATGTAATAAATGATTGAAAAAAATTTTAGAATCTCTTTATAATACTATATTACATATTTCACATCGTGAAATATGTGATACACTATAATAAATGTCATTTTGCAAAAACTTATCAAGTATTAATTTTTGCTTTTAATAACTAAATCCAATATCTAAATTTATATATGTGTGTGTGTGTGTGTGTGTGTGTGTGTGTGTATACTTATAAAATTTAATCTATATAAAATATTCTTGCTGCAATATCATCAACAATCCAATTAATACCATCGACTAGATTTTCACCCGTCATAGCGGAGCACTTATAAATTTGCCAATGATGAGTCTTTATATTGGGTAACTCCAGAATGTCGGCTATGTCAGCTGCAGATAATGCACCAGGCATATCCTGCTTATTGGCAAATACAAGAAGACTTGCTCCTTCCAATCTTTCCTCTTGCAAAAGCTTGTACAATTCTGTTTTGCAATCATCCAATCTCCTTTTATCTGCACTGTCTATCACCCAAACAAGTCCATCTGTTGACTCAAAGTAATTTCTCCAATAGGAACGCAATGATTTTTGTCCACCCACATCCCATACATTGAGCTTGTATCCACGATGTTCTAATGTCTTGATATTAAAGCCAAGCGTGGGTGATATAGTGTCTATTGGTTCACCATTGAGTCTCTTCAACACTGTCGTCTTGCCTGCATTATCCAAGCCCCTAAAATTTTAACGTGGCATTGTTAAAAGCAAATGAAGAAACACGTATATATTTCAAATGATTATTCTTCAATCATTTAATGCATTGTAAGTTCAGCAAGCGTAATATTTATTAACCTGTGTAAATCAACCACAAGCTAAATATATAAAATAGATACACAAACACAAATACGTACAACATTAAAATTCGCATCTCCTTTTCTTTCTGTTTCAATTTTTTCAGCACCGTTAACAGACCCATTGTCAATCCATTAATTACTCCACGATGTTCAGCTCGTTAACAAATAAATGTTCGTATGCGAACAAAATTCTTTCGAGTTTGACAGAAACGTTTCTAACCTCCAATTCAATTTGTTAATTCTGATCACAAATTACACAATCGGTAAAAAGCACATGTAAAAACGCCACATCTTGTACTGATTAGGTACTATTATCAAAAATGATCAGCCGAGTGAATTTTCATATGTTATCAAGTGAGTGATGGATATAGGATGTGGTCCACAATTTGACAACTACAAATAAAAATGCTACGAAACTTTTGATTGACCAATCGGAAGAATTTTACTAACTGAACAATCAAAAAATGCTTCGAAGCATTTGTAGCAAGTGGATTAGCTATAATTGTATATTATATGTAGAAAAAAATTATAGAATTCATCATTATCAATTGTCGATATAAATTTTTTATCAATCTATAAATACAAAGCTATGGCAACAACATGAAATTGTGATTCAAAAACTTTCTGATTGTTTAAACAATTTTATATTTTCTTATATTTATTTACATATTTTTGGAATACGTATTCTATTTTAGGGACTTATATTTTATTCACTTATATTTTACGAGTATTCTATTTTATAGGGACTTATATTTTATTCAATTAAATTCAATGACAATTGAATGAGTATGTTCTCATCAAATACTAAAAGATTTTTTCACAATTATAAATTTCCAATAAATTGTTTGTAATATTTGCAAATTTTATGGAATGTTGCACATCTATACATAAAAAGTTAATTGATATATATGACATATATGTATATATTAGAAAATGTCATTTTTTTCCCTATAAACATCTTGAAAAAACAATATGAACTTTCCACGGTATCTAATACATATATGATACATTGTATATATTTAATTTTTATAAACTATACGCGGATAAAGCTGAAAGTTAAATATTAGGTGTTGGAATTAATTCGTAGCGTTTTTTAATGAAAGAATGTTATTTATTTCACATGAGCATTAAAAAATACATTAATGAAAGTACTTCCCATCACTTGTAAAACGCTACGAATTAATTCCAACACCTAATAGTTTATCAAGCAGTGTATCATCAATATTACTGTTAATAAATAACATAAAACTGACACAATAGATAATTTAAAAAACTTAATTATTTTACATGCAATATTACGTTTATAAAATAAAAATGCAATCATTAAGGGTTATTAGTAATGTCTTTCTAATAATACTTTTGCTGCTTTACTAATAACTTCTGGATGACATAAAGCATTGATAAGAGATTCAAAAAATGAGTCATATTGAGGATTAGGTACATAATCTCCAGATGCACTTGTTTCTTCTGATGGATATTTCTCCTTGTCTCTTTTACGTCTTTCTTCAATAAATTCTTTTAATTCGTGCTCCTTTGCATCAGGTAACAATTTAACATAATAGGGGTACTCTTCAGCTAATTCTGTTGCAGTTTCTGGTTCAGGTTTAGGTCTTTTCGCTGGTATTTTTGGAACTGTCTCCATTTGTTTCTCTTGCTCCTCTTCTTGTGCACGTTCAACAGCGCATTCGACCTAATGAAATAGTTTTATAAATTAAACCCAAGTTCTATCTGTATTTAACCAACAATATTGATGTTTCTTAGAAGAAAAAAATTACTTCTGTTGTATAATATGTAGTTAACTTATTTGGAAACTGATTATAATCTCCCATCTTGGCTATTATCAATTTTACTAGAGCTTCCTCGACTCGTGCCCTGCTATCCGTTTTCAGTTTTCCCCATATATTAACGCTTACATTGACTTTATCTAAAGATTCCACGTAATGCCACCAACCATTAGGCACAAATAAAACATCTCCAGGTTCTAGAGTTATTAATTTTGGTTTGTATGGTATATCCAACAAACAATCTTTTTCTTCTTCACTTAGGCAATAAATATTAAATCTGCTATATACAGTCGACTCCTCGTAAGGAAGTCTAACTGGTATCAGAGGAGTATTAGGTGGATAAAGCAACCATTGTTTCCTACAAATAAAATAGGTACAATATAAACAGAGATAATATTAAAACTAAAAAATAATTGAAAAATACGAACCTGCCATGTATTTGTGCTACCAAATTATAACCATAGGTATCCCAATGGCAATCAGTATGAGCACCTTTGCCTCCAATCCAAATAGTAGAATACATTCCATTTTTACCAAGTTCTTTGTCAATCCCAAATTTGAGCCAATTAAAAGATTCTATAATGTCTGTATTATCATTGAGCCACTCCTTTATATGCTTATAATCACAGTAATGCCATATATTATTCTGCTTTGTTTCTTGTAAATCAATAAATTCTTGAAACGTTAATTGAATCGGTTTTGCAGGAGGACTCAAGCACCAATGATGATGTTGAAGAACACACTAAGAAATGGATTCAATTAAATTATTAATAAAATCATTAAAACAATATATAAATACAAGTATATCGCTACAACTTACTGTACGCTTGTTATGATTACCAATTCGAAATGGCAACTTCTTATTTCCAAACTTTTCAACCAATTCAGTCAGACTCCACTGAAGTAATTTCCACTCATAAGAACCATCAGAATTTTGTAACATGTTCTGAAACAATATAGGTTCTTCAAGTTCTGGTAGAATTTCTTTCAGAATATCTTCCAAGGGTTGTAAATGTCGACTCATATTTTTAATTATCTTATAAGATACAATTGTTAAAATTAGTCACTTTTCTTATCTTTATTGAATTATAAAATAATTGATCCTATGAAATTGATGATTATAAAATAATTGATCTCTTTCCTATGAGATTATTGATTTCAATTAAATAAATCTCTCAAACTACATATCAATGTTTATGTCCTTTAGATATTATCTTCTGTTTGTAAACTTTGATATTATCTCATTGATATTAAAATATATGTGATAATTTCAACGAATATTCTAGGTCAATGTCTGATTCACATTGCGACATCTAACGTACATACATGATGATATGATATCCAATAAGAGAATTCGCTTATTCCTAGTTTCTAGTTACACATTTTTGTCCAGGAGGCAATTCTCCTATTGAATTTGAAAGCAACGTGAATCTTGCATCAAAATCTATTTGCCTTGCTTTAAAATCTTCAAAAATATTTATATTAAAATGAGATAAATTTATATATTCGGATATTGAAAAGAGAAAACAAAACAAAGGAAGAATTGATCAATCACACTGATCGTGTGACCGAATTGTTCAAATGATTTGTTAATTCTTTCTCTATCCGAAATTTCGGACTAATTTCTAGGATCATAGGATATGGTCAACGGGTGCGGTGCTACAAATGCTTTGAAGCGTTTTTTAATTAATCAGTTTATAAAATTCTTTCTTCTAATTAGTCCATCAAACGCTTCAAAGCATTTATAGCAACTTTGACCATAGTCATAGACACAAGGTATTATAGAAACGAAAGTTAATACACTTTTCTGTGATGATATTGGAACACGTGACTTAAGCCTGCAGCACACGATGCTTATTTTCCTGCTGCATTGCTAGCTGAATTAGAATCTTGCCATCGTATTGGCTGCGATGCTGGCACTGACAGCACCGTAGCCAATACGGTGGCAAAATTCTAATCCAGCTAGTAAGGCTAAATTCCAAATTGCCAGCGCTGAAAAACTGCAGTTTACGTCACGTATACTATACATTTTCAGCATTGCAGCAAATTTTGAAACACATCCTAATCCAACAGGAAAATAAGCATCGTATGCTGCAGGCTTAAGTGATAGATATGCTTACTTTCTCTAATAACATTATAAATTATCTATATGTATATACAATACATTATATTAGATTTTGTCGAAATTTTATATAAGTCTAGATATTTTTAAAAATCCTGCTTTTAAAATTTCATAATTTTATATGTTCTAATAACTTTTAAAATTTACTTTCAAAATCTAATAATTTTTAAAAACAAATTTTTTGAATATAGTAACTTTTAAAATCTTATCTTTAAAATTTCGTAACTTTTAAAACGTATTTGTGAAATTTAGATTAACATTTGGATTAAGGCTCAGTTACATCAATGTCTTTGAGCGAAACTTAAAACTCATCTGTCCCGTTTTAAAGTCAAAAAGTCAGATGCAAAAAGTTTTAAATCTCACTTAAAATCAAAGTAACGTTGCAATCGAACCTAAAACATTTGGATAAATATAATTTTGTCGTTTATTTCTTTGGAAAACTAACAGTCACGATATATGGATATCTAGACATGACACGTACATCGCAATACTCGTGAATACGACTAAATTTAGTGTAAGTTCATGTGATATGGCATTTATGATTCATGACGCCGAGTTATATTAAAGTTTGTGATTTTTCTCATAGATTTACATTGCGCAATAAAATAATTGAAAATAAGTAGAAATGAAAAAGCCTCCTTTACACATGCTTTAATGTACGGGAGTCAGGTGATACGAAAACGAGGCTAATTAAATTTGGCAACGAAAGGTACATTACATTATCAAATAAAGCATGTGTTATTTTTCTAACCTAATTATATCTTTACAAATGATTATAATGATATCTTTTGATGTCGTAATATCTCTTTAATTTGATTACGACATATATCACGATTTTGCATCTTACGAACGTTAAATTATTATAATTTTATCTTTTGGCCTCTTTTTCTGTTACAAATTTATAACATTCTTGATATTACATTTACTTTATATACAAATTCTATTGTATCCTGCTTAAAATAATTTAGACTTTGTATAACATTATATTTATAATTATATTTTTATAAATTTGAAAATGAAAGTAACAATTTTAATCTTTTTGTGAATAAAAGCTTTTAGTGCAGTTTAATATGATCACGTTACGAGGAAAACTCAAAAAGGACAATGATATAGCAAATTCAAAGAATTACAACAGGCGAGTCTCGATACGAGATAAATTACTGATCAAAGAGGTCAATTTGACATAATATTTCTTCTTCTCATAATGTATCATGACAACGATGTAACATATGAATTCTAAGTTTATGTTAAATTATTTTTCTTAGGTACAGGAAATGGAACAGACATTGCCAGTAACTTGTAAAGTCACATTTAAAGATCCAGATTGTCTTCATGAATTTAT